CCGTTTCTTTGAAGACTGTGCCCGTTCGCTGAAGAGAAACAGGTCACAGTCTTCGTGAAAAAAGTGCCCGAACCTGACACTCATATAGTACCAGATACGGGCACGCTAAGGGAAGCCTAGTGTGTGTGTGAGAGAGGGAGAGAGAGAGCTTACCTGGCCACAAACGGAGGCAACAGTGGGCGGCGCAGCAGCCAATAGGCAAGATTCCAACGGTGTACCCCGTGCCTGTTCGCTTTGTGAACAGGCTGCAAAACGACGCCTGTACCTGGCGCGGTTTGCATCCGGGTACGGGCGCTTGGGGCAAGGGGGGCTAAGCTCCTGTTGAGCTTGACTCTCGTTCAACTGAGTGAAATGACAGTGTGGGGGAGGCTGCTCGTTTTTGTAAAAACGAGCTGCCCCCTGCCCAAGGAAACGAAGGGGAAGAAACAACAGCCACGTATGTGGCCGCGGGTTCAAGGTAGATAAGGGGGATAGGCAAAAGAATGAAAGAGGGGAGGAAGAGAGTTGGAAAAAAAACAGTCACGAATTCGTTCATGACCTCAGTCCAGATGAAGGGTAGAGAAGCGTCTGAACCTTGAAGTGACAGAAGACTGTTGATTTTAACAGTCTGCTGAAAATGGCTTGATACAGCCACGTGAGGCTGCGCCTGACCGAGGGTGGCGACCAGGTGCATAGCCAAAGCCAGGAACTTGATGTTCCACTATCCCTCGATTGTATTTCAGTTCGAGGGCTAGGCTTAGCCCCGTTTTTTTGGTTGAGCCCCAAGTGGCTGCTCACCACTCCAGCCCAGCTATAAAAGCAGGGCTGGCATGCAGCATTCGCATTCAGTTAAGGTGTTGCCCACATTCTGATTGAGTGTGGAGTGGAGAGCAGCATTATGTTCCCACAGTGTTGCAGAGCAGTGAGTAAGAGGAGGAGTAGAGTGAAGGTCTGTAGTGAGAGAGGATAGGAGTGGCTGCCATAGCCACCGGGCTGCGCGGTGCAGGAGAGACTCTACCCACTTTGCACGACAGCAGCAGGTCCTCGGCAAGCGGTGAAGGGGGGACTCTGCCCTTTTTGCACGGCAGCGGTAGGTCATCGGCAAGTGGTGCAGGGGAGACTCTGCCCTTTTTGCACAGCGTCGGCAACCATTTTAGAGTGGTTTTGGGGTGATGTTATTCGCTCGGCACGACAACGGCGGCGCTTTTTGGCGGTGACGAGGAAGTGCTGCTGATTTTTTGCAGCGATGGCACTGAGATTTTGGCCGCGAAGTGGAAGCGCTGCTGGATTTCTGCGGCGACGGTGCTGGTTTTCTTTGCGGTGGTGCGGAAGCGCTGCCAAAATTTTGCGGCGACATCGCTTATTGTTTTTGGCGGTGGTGCAGAAGCGCTGCCGGGGGGTTTACGGCAACGGCGGCGGTATTTTGCATGGACTACTGAGAGTGGGGGCTGGACATTGGCGCAAGGGAGGTGCCGCTGAAATGGTAGCGTGGTTTGAAGCAGTGTAAGTGTGCCACTGCTATGACGTAGTGACATTGGAGGCGTGTAACGACGACATTGAAACGTCGTCAGATTATTAGGAGGTGATTGTGTGTTGAGAGGGTGTCTCGGCAAGCGAGCATAGTAGGGAGTGGGGTGGATCGCTTTGCGGGCGACTCGTCGTGACGATTGTCTCTTCTGTAGTGCCGTTTACACGGTCTTCGTGAGTGGGTCGTCTCTTCAACTTCACTCAAGGTCAGTCAGTCAGTTTGACTCAGACCTTTTCACACCTGTGTGAACCCACACTTGCTTGACCTGTTCTTTGAATGCTCACTGAAAAGGTAGAGGGAATGTGCGTTTGCGTGTGTGAATGGGAAGTATGACGTGAGTTTGAGCTTGCATTGCCTTCTTTTGAACTTGTTGTTTTATCTCGTGTGCAGGTAGGTGGAAGGACGCCTGGAAAAAAAAAGGGAATATGACCATGACAATGGCAATGAGAGAATGATGTTTGCTTTCCGTTGCTCACCTGTATATATGTTGAAGGGATGGGAAGACAGTAGACGACGAGAAACGAAGCGATCACACGAAGAAGAAAAAATTAATTGGACATAGGTTTTTCCTGAGGACACCCATTCTTTCCTGAACAACCCTCTTTGTCTATATCCGTCTGTCTGAATTATTTTCTCTTTTGTGACCTCCTTTCTTGTCCAAGTTACCCTTGACGTCACGTGGCGAGGGATCATTCTGCCTGCCATGGTAGACGTCTTTCCTTTTCCTAGGAGGCATCTGAGGCGGGGGTTCACTGCCTTAGGGACTAGCCCTGCTATCGACTCGGAGTGGATCGCTTATGCGGGGGGATACCATGCTGTTGTGGTGGAGCCAGCCCGACTTCTGAGATCTGAGGCTCGCTTGGACGAGGACGAGGGGTATCCCAGACCACCTCCTAGGGAAAGGACATGCGCCTACTCACGGAAGAACCTAAAGTTCTCAGTGCCTTGCGTTAAGGGGAGCTGCAATAGCATAGTGGTCGTCTTAGGGGTCACTTGTGCATGGAGAACTGAGACACAAGAAGCTCGGTTCATGGCTACTAGTTGAAATATAGCGCGGCTAGGCACTCTCGTCGTGGTTGGCCTTGCCACAAGAAACGAGGACCAATAGGATTGATATGGCAAGCAAGGTTGGGATAACTAGAGTCCGAAAACAACCCTCTTTAGTAGGGTCAACGAGGGCCAGGAGGACAAAGCAACCAACAAAATTTGAAAGTGGATCCTCGTCTTTAATGGGCATCCAGTGTTCGGTTGTTAAAGTCGAGTACTGACTTGCGTAGTGGTAACCGGATTACTTGCAGATGACATTCACACCAAAGTCAGAAAGGTAGTGACATCATCATTAAAGCAATCGCATCCTAATTGTACTTCAGAGTTGGGATGCCCATATTCCTTGCTAGTATTCAATGTGGTATGAAAGAATTTAGCAACGCATCTCATCAAGTCAAAAAAAGTCGTGACAGTCCAGTCGTCTGGCAGGCAGAGTGCAAATATTTTAGTCAGGCGTTATTTGAGCGTCGCCTAGTGTATTGGTCGTGCTTTGGTCTTCCATTGATAAGTATCGTTTGAAGTCAACCTTTGGCGTATGCATGATTGTATTGTATATAGGATGATTTCAGAAGATAAGTTAACTTACGTTGACCTGAATTTTTTTTAAAAAGAGTTTTGTCCGATTAACTTTTAATTGTCTTCGAAGGAAGGGACTAGGATTGTTCGAAGTTTTCCTTACGCTTGGAATATCACGTTCTAGTCGACCGACGTCAATCCGATTCCTGGGAGATCAGCGCCCCAGGGACGGACGACGCTTGGATCCACTTTGGCGTTTAACCATGCATACCTATGCTACAGTGAATGAGCAAACGCCCTCAGCCGACCTACCTCTGCAATTGCATTATAAAAGCCTTCACATGTGGGTCGATAGCTCGGCGGGGATATGCCCCTAAGGGTGGTGAGAGCCCCTTAGGGAAGGTAAGTTGTGCCCCACGAGAACCTATCCTGTCGTAGGGGACCGCGGGATGTACAACTGGTGCACTCGGCCGGAGCGGCGAAGGGTCGACGTGGGTTACCGTGTCGTCCCCGAGTTGTCTCTAAAATGTTGAAAGACTAAGTTTTTTTTGCGTGACGCGGCCGGGAGGGCCCTCGCTCGCGTGGGGCCCGATGTGTTTGATAGGTGGCGCCGTTGTTGGGGATAACAGCAAACTACCGTTGTCCCTAGTAAAACGACACTCGGGAATGAATGAAGTAAAAATTATACTTTTTTTACTTGGCTAAGAAAAAGGTTAGTAACGTTTGACCTCAATCGGAAAAAGAAGGGTAACTCTTTCGTGTACTCTATATTGCGGTACATCTGGTACTAACTTTTATCTTGGACTCGTAAAAGGAGTGCAACTTTAAAGTTATTTTGATAATAACTTTTAGTCGTGAGAACTGTTATTGTGACCTTAGTTCACAAATAATTTGTAAGGCTCATTGATAGAAGGTTAAACGGTTGTTGTATATATGTGGAATTATTATCTACAATACAACGATATCCAAGTAAGTTATTTTGATTATTAGGTGTAATGCTGAGATATAAAACTATTTCTATTTTGTTAATTAATCAACCCAATTGTTTGATCATTAATAGAGCTTATGCCTTTTGCAGGGCAGCAAAATGACGGGAGGAGTCTTTGGCGGTATGCCTCTTTTTAAAGGCAGCGGGGTTGTTAAATTCTTGCAGACCTTCCAGACTCTTACAACACAGATGCTTTGGGGAAAAGATCACAAGTTATTTTTCGTTTTGGGATTTGTGATTGAAGAATTGAAGGTCGAGGTTGGACATTTGTTGCGGGCCTCCGGAACCTGGAGGGAATTCGAAAAGCTAATGATTGTCAAATACTCGGAACCGCCTAAGGAGGAGAAAAAAACAGAGAATAAAAACCATCCTCTAGATGAAAGTGTGACTAAAATAGCCCAACTTATAGAACAGAGAAATGTAGAAAGAGAAGGTTCACCAAAAGTAAACGTTCCTCTTTTCAATGGTAATTTCGTCTCTGTCTTTATTGAAAAATTTAAACAGTTGGCATCTATTAATGATTGAGATGAGCCTCAAATGTTGAGGCGTGTTCTCAGGTATGTTGACAAAGATCTTGTGAGTATAGTCTTGTGAATAATTGAGACTTCATTAGCGTGGTCTCACTTTCGCGATGCTATGTTAGACGAATTTTGGTTAGGCGATACAGTAACAACAATTGAGGACTTGAGGAATGTTGAGTGAGATGCATACATAGTAAAGGAAAAGTTTCTGGCTGAATTTGGACGGGTGGCTCGTCGAATTCAGGGGTTGACAGGTAAACAGAAGTGTTTTGCTTTTCTTGAAAAATGTTTTTAAGGGGAGCAGTGTTTGCCTACCCGAGGAGAAAGCAGTAAATTCAATTGGGAAAAAATTCGGTGAAATTTTATTGACCGAGAATTTAGTCGAATATTTGACCTGCGTAGCATTCCGTTCGCGTTCGGTCGGCGAACGTGAACGCATATGACCGAATGCGAACGCGTCTAAAAATCAACCGAACGCGAACGTATTTTTTTAAATTTTTTTTAGTATATATAGGGGTTTGGGGGCATAGGGAGCTCTGCTGGGTGCGAGAGGCCACCCCTCCCCGACTCCCTCTTCACCCGCTTTGATGCAGGGGGTGCAACACCCCGTACAGCAAAGCGATGCCGCTACTGCAGGTGTTGTACCTGCTGCGCAGCTATGGTGGAGGAGGAGGAAGATAAGAGGAGGAGGATGTGGATATGGCGGAGGAGGATGGGGGAGGATAATAGTAGTAGGAGGAAAAGTAAGAGGAGGAGGGAGGAGGAGAAAGGAGGAAGAAGAAGAGGAGGAGGAAGAAGAAGGGCAAAAAAAAAACTGCGCATGCTGACGTGGCAGCCTCGCGTTCGTTAGAAGAGGAAGACGAGGAGGAGAAGAGAATGGAGAAGGAGGACGAGGAGTGGAAAGAAGGAGAAAAGTTCGAGGAGGGGGATAAAGAGGTGGAGGATAAAGAGGAGGAGGGGAAGGTGGAGGAGGAGGAGGAGGCGAGGGTTGACGAGGTGGCGGAGGAGGATGGGGAGGAGGAGCGCGACCTTTTTTTTTTTGTTTTTTTTTGTCACCTTTCTCCCTCTCCTCGTCCTCTTCTTCCTCCACCTCCGTTTCCTCGACCACCTCCTCGTCCTCCTCCCCCTCCTCCTCGTCCTCTTTATCCTCTTCCTCCTCTGACGAACGCACGACTGCCACGTCAGCACGGGTGGCTTACAAAAGTTGCGCGTGCTGACGTGCCAGCTGTCCGTTCGTCGGAGGAGGTGGTCAACGACACGGAGGTGGAGGAAGAAGAGGACGAGGAGAGGGAGGAAGGCGGGGAGGAGGACTTCGATATGGCGGAGGAGGAGGAAGAAGACCACGAGGAGGTGGTGAGGTCGATGAGGTGGAGGAGGAGGATGGGGAGGACGAGGAGGAGGAGTAGAAGGAGGAAGAAGAAGAACAAGCCGAGGAAGTTCGAAGAAAATAAAAAGTTGGAAGGAGGAGGAGGAGGACGAGGAAGAGGAGGAGGAGGAGGTAGACGTGGAGGAGGAGGAAGACGAGGAGGAAGAAGTAGTTGACGAGGAGGAGGAGGTGGGGGAGGAGGTCGACGAGGTGGAGGAGGAGGAAGAAGACGAGGAGGAGGAAAAGGTGGAGGAGGTCGACGAGGTGGAGGAAGAAGACGAGCAGGAAAAGGTGGAGGAGGTCGACGAGGTGGAGGAGGAGGGAGAAAATGAGGAGGATGAGCTGGAGGCCCTGGAGGGGGAGTAGAACGGGGAGGATATGGTGGGTTACGAGTCAGAGGACGAGGATGAAGAAGAAGAGGAGGAGGAGGAGGAGGAGGAGGAGAAGAAGGAGGAGGAGGAGGAGGGGGAGGAGGAGGACGCGACGTGGTTTCTCACCTGGGAGGCGATGGAGACAACGACGACAACGACGACTCCCCGGGCGGGTGACTGGCGGGGTATGCACGTTCGAATTCGAACGAGCAGGCCCAGGCTGGCCCCTCCCGCCACGCAGATGCTCCCAGCGCCCGCCCAACCCCGCCAACCAAACCCCCAACCCCCACAAGGCCCCCTGGCTGCCCTGCCGGGCCTGGTACCGCCCGACGACGGATGCGTTCGCCGGCCTCTGAAAGACGTTCGTGCGAACGTGTTCGCGCCGCGATCGGGCGAACGGCCGAACACGTTCGGACGTTCGGAAAAACTCCGAACGAGTTCGTCGTGCTACGCAGTATTTGACCAAACTCTTCGAATACAGGTTCGCTTACAGAAAATTGAGAGAGAGTGTCGAGTTGACAAGCGAAAGAGAGATTCATATCCTATGACGAATCTCTCATAAATCAGAGGAATACTGGAAAAGGAAAAGGACGATTCTTGTCACGGGTATCAGAAGGCAAGGATAGAGCGTCCTTAGGAGGACCCATGTGAGCAAGATAGGGACAATGAGGGGGATCATTTGGATGATTTTTCGATGTCAGCTGCTTAAAGAACAGAACATTGCGAGTCAGCGTCTCAAAATCAACGAGACCAGTGAGTAAAAAAATGATGGTTTTATTGGAAGCATATTATCTGTAAGAGATGTGGTAGTATCGTACACACTCCAAGTGGATGCAAGGGATTGGGAGTTATGGAGAAATAGATTATTAAAATTATGATTTCATTGCTTGAGTTTACTATGACTCGAAACATTTTTGTGAATGAGAATGATAATGTTAACTTAAAGCTTGTATTTCTTTTTGATAAGATAAATATTATATCTAATTAATATATCATTTTATCCATTGAAGAACTATCTGTTTTGTTTACTATTGATGAATATATGATATAGAACATTATGAAATTCCATGTCAAAGCATTGGTTGTGAATTGTTTTGATATTGTGAGTATTTGGTTGAATGTAAGTTGTTGAGAAATTGTGAACCTCTATAACCAGGGTTTAGCCAACCTTGGTTGTGGAAGGTAAGGTTGTTCTACTCTACATGTCACAGTTTGATGAATGAAGACACTGAAATTTGGATAAAATATGAAGAAGTTTGAATCGCAAGCGAATATTATGGAAGGTTATGACGATTCCTGAGGAATGGTTATCAAAAAAAGGATCGACTCCCATCAGCAAACTAGGGAGTGGCTTCCATCAGCAACTGGGGACTTGTTCCCATCAGTGGAATTCCCATCAACAATTCGGGAGTCATTCCCATAATGATGAAATGAAAGGCCCGCAGGGGGTTGAACCTGTGAAAGACTACGGAATGACTCTCATCAACAGATTGGGTAGTGGCTTCCATCAGCAACTGAGAACTTGTTCTCATCAGTGGACTGGGAGGCCATGCCCGCAGGGGGTTAAGCCTATGAAAGACCTATAACACGATGATCTCACCACTCGATTTCATGAGTGCACTGGGAGTCATTCCCATCAGTTGACCGGGGTTGAGTTGTGATGTGACTGTTCCTTTTGAAAGACCTACAAGGGGATGAGTCGTTCCCACTAGCGGAGCACCACACCTGGTGGGTCCGCTACACCCAATCCAGTTAAGTCACATAAGGATCCTTTAGACCATCATGAAATTTTTATATGACAACTAAAAAAAAGGCCTACTACATAGTGTGTATCAAACGTGAGTGAGCCTTGATTCAGTGCCCCACCCTATTATCAAGTAGTGTCAAACGTGAGTGAGCCTTGAATCAATGCACCGCCCTATTATCAAATACTAAGGCAACTCATCCTTGAGTCTCTTTCCTATTACTTTTCCTGTACTAATCAAATCGTCATCCATCAAGCAGCAAGACAAATCTTCTTTAAGTCTAAGTAATACTACGCGATCATATCATAATTCATTAGATAGTAGGATGACTCGTCCTTGAACCTCTTTCCTGCTACCTTGCCAATATCATTCAGATCATCATTCATTAGGTAGTACGACTCATTCTTACGTCTTTATCGTACTACCTTTCGGACCAACCAATCAAGACCCAAACAAGTCATAGGACGACCCAGACTCAGATCTCTATTGACTAATTCGATTACAAATTTAAACAATCGAATTTTGTTGGAGGCAGATATTCCAACATTTTAGTCAATTTCAATAATCATCGCGCTTAAACGAGTCAAATCTTTCACATGAGTGTACTTTCAGCCACACCCGTCCCCTGCTATGTTTGAGAATATCACCATTGCACTAAAATCATCCCAAAATCGATTTCAATAAACTACAACTAAGAATATGCAACTATAGTTCCTGCTCTAATTATTGAAAGACCGATCACCTCATCCTTCCTCACAACTGGGACAGGAAGTTATTACAGTTTCCTTGAACGTGTAACCGAAAAACCGCCACATGTGAGAGCCGCATGTCCCTTCGGAGTCCATCTTCCCCTTAGTGGATTGTTTAGCCATGCATTTCTAAAATTAAAAAGCTTCGTTGGGGACCCTTTGCTATTAGTTTCTTGTTCTACAACTAGGCATGTGATGATCCTATATGCCAATCATTTCTGCACACTTCCAC